AATTTAATAGTTACAAAAAATAAATAAATAAATAAATAAAAGAAAACCTCAGAGCCGTACCTTTTTCACTGTCAGACGTGGCCTCAAAGCTCTGGTGGTGACCTGTGTGTGAGCCAGTTTCAGTGATCTCCTTCCCTGGACTCTCAGGCCTTTCGTGAGGCTTGTCTCGAGCTCTCTTTTGTTTCCACACAGCCATGGCTTCTTTCTCCATCCTACGGACCTCTGCCTCCTCCTGGTCCAGCTGTTGCTTCCACTGTAGCAGCTCTTCAGCATGGCGACGCCTTTGCATCAACTGCTGCTCGCGTTTGGTAAGGAACCTGCAGAGGTGGATGGTACAAACAAAAGGCAAAGGAGCAGAAGGATGAAGAGGAAGTGAATTAAGAAAGGAAATGATGAAGAGTGGGGGAAAAATTACGAAAATAAAACAAAGAACAGATGTAGCAGTAGCAAAAAATATTGAAGTTGAAACGGGGATGAGAAAAAAAAGGAGGAAACAGGACAAAGACACCAAGCATAAGATGTTATAGAGGACCTTGCAGAAACAAGAAAACCCAAATTACCATGTTATCCAATTATTACTGAAAACTCAACACACATTCAATACAGGCCTAAAATAGTCATCCAAGTAATTACATGTACAAAATCCCATAGAATAAAAAAGGGATGAAATGTTACTCAAAAGAAGAGAAGAAAAAGAGAGAGAAAATGTCAGATTCATGCTTCAAACTCAAGCTTGAGTGTTGAGCATAGATATAAACACATTCACACACACCTCAAATTGATTTAGGAATAACAAAAAATAATCCATAGATGTATGGATTAGGTTTGACCTTTTTCAACTATGGTTTTTCCTAACCGCTGAGAATGGTGTCCCTTTCTTCACTCTATTTTATATCTAGCTACACCAGCATGATTCTGTAGATGTCTTTAAAAACAAAGCAGTAAGGCAAAGCTGTTTTAACTGGTATGTTGCACCGCTCTAGGTGCCATTACAGCACAGGATAATTTAGCCTTGATCTAATTTAGAGGCCTTTCTCTTGATCTAATGTTTACTGATGAAAACTTTGACACTAAAGGAGACTGTGTAGTTGCTTCAGCATCTCCCCAAACCTTATTACAGCCAATGATCATCTGTACTTATTATCCTAAGCTATGCAACAGTTACATAGTAAAGGAGATAGTTAAGATTTATGGTGTTCATTAGAGGCAAGACACTTTATCTTTGGTCTATTCTCTGCAGAATCCCTTACTTTCATGCCAAAGCGCTTGCTTGCTTTTATTCTTATTTTTTACTTCTAATTGTTTTATGTCAATAGTGATCTGTAGCAGAGCAGCCCACAGCCACAACGTAAATAGCAAGTGTTTTTATAATTAATTCCATAAGGATAAAAATAGCTACAAAAAGCATTGCAAACAAAAGTTTGACACATGAGCTCAGAGTCTGAGATTGTAATATAACAAAAAAGGCTAATTCTAAATAAAAATAACCTCTGACAAATACAAAATATGAACATTTCAGCTTCCAATTTGAGGTATTGTATAACTCATTGACAACATGAATATATAAAATTGGCACAAATCTAATTAATTTAAAGTTAAAGGTTTGCTGATACAGTTTAGCAGCTTTCCTGGAGAAGATTTTCAGCTTTTAAGTAACATATTTTCCCCACAATCAATTTTTTAAATACACCACAAGAAACACACATTCAATCAGGCATCAACCAACAGTCCACCCCCACAATGTCCCAGTGCCGGTGAATCAAAACAAGCATGTTCCATGGGGTAGGGGTGGGTTGGGGGGGAGGCAAGGCTGAAATGGAGAAATAGAGAGCACTGTACAGTACCTGACCAACTGGTTGTAGATAAAGAGCTGGAATTTAGGGTGGAGGTTGGGAAGACAGACACTGAGGGAGGCCCAGTGGTGGGCCGTGAACACAGAGAAGAAGTAGTGGACAGGGGAACAGTGTCTACAACACACAAGTGCGCAACAGACAAAGTCAACAAAGCCACATTTTAATGGGTTGGACAAATAAAACACACACAAACACACACATACATCCCAACATAATGTAAAGAGCACAAGACACAGAAGGAAAAGACAAGTAAAGAGAGAAAAAAAAGAGTGGTATGAGAAGATGTGGTTTACCGCGCCCAAAGTTTTAGTCTGGTTTAGAAAAGTCTAAACAGACTTCTGTTTAGAAATTATTGCTTTTAAAAAATTGATCTACTGATAACCAAAGTCCAGTGGCGGATCTAGGATTTTTCGGAGTAAGGGGCCAGCAAGAGGGTACAATATAGAGGAGCCAAATATTTGTTTGACATCCTTGCACACAAATCTCTGGTTTTGGTAACGTGTATATTTAACCAGTCACACTTGTAATGTAATGTTTATGAAAACAGCTTGCACAGTAAACTCTCCTTACCACTTTTGCATGCATTTTTACTGTGAAATACTCTCTAACACAGAGCATGTGAGAAAATCCAATTTGAACAATCTTGCAGAAAAAGTCTTTCAACTAACAATTTTCTTATGAAGAGGAGAAAACCTCTCTAAGATTAGCCTCATAAGTCAGCTCAGTCTGGGACTGATGCATGTTCTGTCCTCCTTCGATCATTCAGACAAAACACAGAGGCAGCAAGGTGGGTAAAGTGAGTCCACCTCTGACACCCCTCTGAGCCATCAACAGAGGAACTAACAGAGCCGGGCCCGAGCCGGGCTGACAGACTTGTGACTGCAACTGCAACTACAAAAACGATAATGAGCTGATGACATCAGTGAGCGATCGCAGGATTAATCAACAGATTTTTTTTTACTGAGGGAGTATTAAAGATGACACAGAACAGAAACTTTGAAGTAATTAAAAAAAATATTGAACCACAGGATCGCTTAAGTTAATTCAGTTTGTTTGATATGAGGCAGACGCCCATCACACAATAACTACACTGTGGTCCACTTAAGCTGAGCTGAGATCTGCTCCACGCCTCTTTTGGTTTCGTGCTGCTGGGTTATTTTCTGAATGCGTACATGTGAGCGGGACCTGGCCGGCTTCTCCTGTGATTTATGAATGACCTGAGGGAGCTTAAAGCCAGATTAGTCTGTGTGGCGATTTTACGGAACGGTCATGTGAAAGAGGCTGTTGATTCATGCTGGACCTTCCTGTTTGACTCATTAGCACCACTAGTGGTTGGACATGGAACTACAACCATCATCATTGCACTTGATCAAACGACAGATGAGTGACAGGACAGGGGCACTTCAGGGGGCCAATCAGATTTCAGCTAGGCCAATGCCTCTATGGCCCTCCCCTAGAACAGACTGATGCACGCTGCAGCACGCTATCAAACCCTTAACAATTTTTACACAAGCAAGTAAAAACTGATACAACAAAATGTCTTGTTTTGCACCCATAATGTAGAGATTTAGATTTTATTTGATTAAGGCTTTAGATTTATAGTTAATTGAGCTAATAACAGTTGACTTCTATGAAAAATGGAAAGATTCATGCGATACAAAAATGTTTCTATGACTGCTTTATACTTTTAAATTTTTAAACCAGAATCAGAAGAGCATTCATCAATACAATAAAAAATCTGAATATAAATTTTCAAGGTGATTGGTGCACCGCC